GATGGTTGATTTGTTTAGAATCTCTTCGCAACAATAATACCTATATATAAAATTAATGATATTCATAACGCAACCAAAATGTTGATTGCTCAAATATCATTCAACTAAATATGAAACATTTAAAATAGCTATAAGTGAAAAAAAATCGAAATAAGGATAACAAAAAATGAATACCATTCATATGCAAATTACATGTCGATATATCAATATAATATAGGTACTCGATTTAAATTCTTCGATTCAACGAAAAACGGTAGATATATCTATCTATATAAAATAAAGTACGAAATTATAATGAAACATTATTGTTGAGGATTATTAAGAAGCACGAATTTTTGAGTATTATTAAAAATTTCAATTTCAAATTGCCATTTTACCAATCGAAAAGTCATAAAGTTGCAATAGTTATAGCATCGAGATATAAAGTAAGGACATAGAAAGCAGCACTAAAAAAACAAAACATTAACAGTACGACATAACAATATGTTACACTATATCTAATGAGATTATTTATATTATTTATTTGCCAGATTATACTTTAATCATTCGCAATTTGTTGTTAAATTATCTTAGTTAGTTGAAACTAAGGAAATATCATTTTGCCTTAGAAACTCGTAAATTTTACTGAATTGAACTTATGTAATAAATAACAATTGCTGAGAATTTTTCATCGCTAGTTGCGTGTTTCATATCGGTAAACTGGTGCACGATGCTATTACTGCACTTTTTCGCGTAGCTGTAATATCGTATAACACATTCACAGAAGGTTTATTGCATTCTTCCAACAGTCGCGATCTTATTGCACGTCACCAATTGTCAAGAAAGGTATACCGGTTACGATGATCACGGTCATGCCGGTATTCCGGCCTCATTAGCTGTTCGGAACCTGGCTTAAGCCAATGAATAATGGGCTTCGTCCCAATGCTGCCGCCGCTGCTGCTCGTATTTTTCTGCGCGGACTTATTGCGCTAACCCGCCAAGTCACGATTATTTATACTGCCGGTTCAAGAACAGCTTTCTTGCTTTTTGTCAGCGAAATAGGTAGCATACATCAAGGCCCAGGAAGCCTTAGATTCCCGTAACGCATCGCGTTTAAGGGAAACTGCTCGTTGCGGTGGATGATGGAGCCACGAACAAACTTTTTTTATTTTTAATACGGAATCCCGTTATTCTCCAAGTCTATCAATACGATTGCCCTTTATGATATTCCATCGCGATTATGTTTACATCGTGTAGAGTAACTGATAAAAAACATTAAAAAATTTTGAAGAATCGAATAGCACTCGGTGCGATATTTTATGTAAATGTTTATTTGATAAATGATATTTTATTTTCACTTTTCTATTTTAATACACTCGTATATTATGCAGTGTATAAAAGCTTACACGATTGTTTGACTCAGAGAATAAATGGTGTCTTAAAAATGAGTGTAACAAATTTTTTGTATCATTATCTAGAAAAATGATAAATGCGTGGGCTATTAATATAACTGTAATGGAGTATATCAGGCACGAAAGAGTTATCTTATTCATGGTACATGAATCCTAGAAAATACATTAATCATTAATAGCTTCCAAAGAAAACTTGAAGCGTCCCATTTCCAGATTTGCTATTCAAGTTATCCACATTTTGAAATTATTAATAATCAAATATGCAATTCGCATAACTACAAATGCTCGTTAATAGTTCGCGTATAGTAGTTGAGCATCAATCTACGACGAAAGGTAATATTATTTATGAATAGCTATACATGATAGATGAGGTAGGTTCCGACAGACATATAACGGACGTAAAGTATTGAGTAGTTCGTTTCATGGAATAGAGGATGTGAATTTTTCTTAGGCATTGATAAACGTCCGTGTAACATCTGTGAATTATGTTTTCACGGGTAGTCTGTTACGGTCTTTCCTTAATACTTTAGGAATGTGCGTTCGAAACACATAAATCGCACTCCGATGTGCTTGAAAGTACATTAGCAAATAAACGTTCTCACGATATTTCTCGGAAGAGGAATCTAGGTCTAGACTCTAAACGATAGATCAGGAACGTTCTGAATTATATCTCACTGTTTAACGCATTACTCAACCTTACGATAATCAATTTTAGACGTTTCACTGGAATAGCTGTGTTAATATTAATTACAGACGTCGATGAAATTTCAAATAGTATATTTCAGTATGTATGTTAGTATGTATACGTATACAGTATGTATAAAATAGTATGTATATTTCAATTACGTTTAAAATCGGACATCGTTTGCAAAATATTGCGAAACAATATTAATAGCATACATCGTTGTGTACATTGCATTACGAAGCAAAGCATCGCGTAACACACACAGAATATTATTTAGACAGCATTTTGTCAACGTTGGCTATCTCACAGAGAACTATTGATTTCATACTTTCAGCGGTCCTTCATCATTTGAAGAGTTTAATGGCAGTCGTGAATAAGCCAAAGAGTCTCTTACCACTTCGATGAACAGACATGGCAGTCCCGAGAAATTACTTCTTTCACATTTCATTTCGTGCTCGTTCTTCTGGGTGATGTCCAAGATACCGCCCACGCTACGTCTATAAGAGCCGGCTGATATATCGCCTCGTTAATGTTTCGCTTCATCAGATGTTATGACTGAACATCCTTTACCCTGCCACTGGGTGGTCATTTCTGACTGCTCTTATTGCGAAACCCACTGTTATAAATTATAGGGAATGTCGGTCCCGCGTTCGTAAGTCGCGCGTTTCGTCTTTCTGGGTGCATAAACAGACAGCGTCCCTTCATGGTGCTGCGATCGAAGATTAATTTGCATCCTCGTAACGGCTTCATATCGATTTCGATCGTTGTTTCGGAGAGATAAATTGCACGACGGTTGTTTTCTATTTTTCTCCCGTGCATCGATACTCGTAATCTGTCTCCGATAATACATCTAGGAAAAATGACGCCGTGAAAAATTGATGCAAATTATAGTCTGTGCCGCTCGCGTTAATCTGTTATCGATAAAAAGCACGATCGATGGCTTCGCATTTAAGTGGCAAAGATAAAATATCGGCAAATACGTCGTTTTTATAAAATATTACGTACTGACGTCATGTGGAAAACGACCAAGCGCAACATTTAATTTTTAGATATAAATAGAAGGATCTCAAGTTTCGTAGTTAGCATAGAATTTAAAAACGCTATTTACGAGTCGAAGGTAAGAGAAGCGTTTACGTGTGTGTAGATACATTGAAGCGCGTTCGAAGCGAGACGTCAGCGTGACAAAACGTTAAACGGTTAATTTATTCAAAAGGCATCTTAATGAGAAAATTAATCACTGTCAAATTCAACTGGTTACATCGCTATTTATAGTCTACATGAATGCATGACATTTTTCGCAATTTAAATATCAAACGATTCAGCAGCATACACAAAGTGCAAAGCTACTTTTACATACAATAGGCAAACCTATGACGTTATATCATAAAAATCAATGTTTATATCACGATTGTACGTTGAAAAAGTATAAATCCCTCGCTTGCGAAAGATTAAAAATTGTTATAGAAAATTTTTAAATATTCCACTTTCCATCTGCTTGTTACATTCGCTTAATTTCTGATGCAGACAAAAATAAGATAATACGTAGGTATACCTATAATAAATGCGACTTGTTAAAAAAAATTGCATTTATACTGAAACATTACGTGATAAATGTTATTTCGTGTCTTGAGCTATCATCCTTTCCATCCAATTTCCTATTCATTCCCTGAACTTGACAGTCAATCTATGCGTATTACGAAGGGTTCGTCGTAGACGATGTATTCGAGGGTGAATGCCTTTCCGTGCGCGAATGCACGATATATATAAGAAAATGTCTGTATGCACATACACATTTACGTGCACGAAAAATAGCGTGGGCCACGATCTCTGTAAAAGCGTCGCCGTTTAGATAATAACGCGCATTTTATCTCCCTCATAAAACCTAATTTATAGCCGCATCCAAGTCTATAGGCGTGTACGAACGGCCGTCGGGAATAGGAAGAGCTCTGACAGAGACAGTGCCGTAATTCTCAAGGTAGCAACTCCACAAACTTTACTTCATCAGAAACAATATCGTCGCTCTTAGAATTTTTCATGCCGTAATTTTACATTGTTTTTACCGCGAACTGAATTTTCGATTATACGCTACAACGAAAAACCTTTACAATTTATAATACATTGGTAAAAAAATTTTTCTTTCTTATACGTTTCAACATATTCCAATTTCATAATTTTTATCGGCAGTATAAATAAAAGGTATGAATAATAAAAGGTATAATAATAACCAAAGTATATCAGGATATTTGATTAGATTAAAAAGTGTCATCAATATTTTAAAACTTTATTCAACGTTATATTGAGATGAAACGTTGATTAAATTATCGCTTGCTTAAATTATTCAAAGGAAAAACTTACGGTTCTTGAGAAACTTGTAGCAGGATTCGTTAGTTACGGCACTGGAGGGGTTGCATCAGAGCGAAGGTTGCTGAAAGTGAATAGGCCGGTAATATTATATCGGTGTTGAAACGTCTCCCTTCGGCATTTAGGTGACGAAAAATATGAGCGTCACGCGTGTGTGTGCCCGCGCGCGCGCTTTCGCGACGGCTGAATGCAGTTACCGACGATAAACTGCATACGTGTTTACCGTATAATCTCCGACGGACGGCTATAAATCCGTGATTTACTCTCATTACTGGGCCTTTGAGTGTTACGACTTGTGCTTACGATACACAACCGTCCGGATAGTTTAATTTATTCATTTAGGTCCGCGCTTTTCTGTCGTGCCATGTTCCACTTTACTGGTCGTACAAAAGTTGTCCGACGACACACGCGTGACAATAATGAGACGTATCGTTGCTCCGTCCGAAACACCTTACTAATTGAACGTCAGATTTTATGAATTCACCCAATCGAAGTGTCATCTTAATAGAAACATGTAGCAATTATAAAACAAAAACAGAAAGAACCGTTTGGATGGCATCTAATAGCTCGTAACACATCTCACAATAATCTGTTATGTTGAAACAATAGGTATTATTGGTTGAAGCATCGATAGAAAAGTATAACGACACTTGTGGTTTTATGCGGAAACCGCTAGAAATTAGAGAAAAAAACAAACATCATTTTTGCGAATTTGTCAAAAAACTGTTTTCTCTTGAGTTACAATGATTTCGAAATATGCTATAAAGCTCAACAGTTTCAACAACTTCTTCCTATACATATAAGTTTCAAGTTATATGCAAAATATAACTATAAGATTGGTAGTACGTAATGTTAATCCGGCTGCGCACCGCGTCGTGAGACAGCCAGCCAACATTGTTTATATTAATAAAGATAAGGGGATTCGCAAGGCCTCATGGAGCCGGATTAATATACTAACTACATACTAACTGCTAAGGCCGAGCAGCGAGATATTTTTACGTATAACTCGGAAGTTAAAGCCAACCGTCATTATATGTATAGGAAAAAATTGTACAAAATGTTGAGCTTTACGACATATTTTAAAATCATACGAAGCAAGATTTTCGACAAATTCATCAAAATGGTTATTTTTCTCCAATTTTCTGCGGTTTCCGTGCAATAATACTAGCGTCGTTACGTTCCTCTATTGATGCTCCAACGAATGACACTCTTTTCACGAGGATCCATCGACTTCCATAAAGTGAAACGTATTCAATATTTAATATTTAAATTTAATTACTTTTGAATTTATCGTGCGTGCCTCGCGATCAGAAATTCCTTTAAAAGTGTGCCTGGTCACGCGGATATGAATTCTAGTGTCTGTACGGGAAACTAGAAACAAGCATGCGGCTAAAGAACTGGGAACGTTGAAATAATTGAAACCGCATTCATGAGATACTCTGTAGGTAGGTTTGTCCCTGTCGAGAAATCAATGCAAATACAACGAATTTCATGGCACCACGTGTCAAGAGTAACGAGTGTAGAGTGCGGACGCGCTGGACGAGTATAAGCGTAGAAGAGGAACGTTAGGGTGAAAGCAATGTTGGAAGGATTGCAGGAGAAGAGGGTATAAGGTAACATACATCACGTTCCCAGTTTATGGTCCGATACGCTCCTAGGAATTGGCACCCGTGCTGAGCTTTCCCGCAAATGTAAGGAACGTAGGGGTACGAAGCAACGAGATACGAGGCGTTATGGCTCTTCCTGGCTCGTAACCTCTGGTCATAAAGCTACTGCACGCTAAAATATTGTCCGCCGCCACGTCTCCACGCCTACGCGTCTATCCGTCGATCTATCTTAATGCTATTATCGTAATTTATTAGTGGAGTTCCCGGAGAATGAATCGATCCATCGTAGCCGCCCCAAAAACGGATCACGGATAATCTAAGACGATCACGCTCGTAATGAGACTATTAAATAAAAGCGATACCAACTCAAATTAGTTCACATCCGTTTAAGTGTACTATTCGAACATCGTATTTTTGTAAGGAAGGATGGTTATTATCAACCACGTAGAATGCAATACAGAACCACATGAAATATAATACAAAAACAAATAACGTATTTTCATTATCTCTAATTATAGAATCTTCTCCCGGTCGTTTTAGTCACCTTAGTTACGCAATTTATCACTTATCGATTAATTGATAAATACACGAGATCAAATTAATATTTAAGATCCAAAATGCTTAAGCAGAACGGGGATCTATAATAAGCCAACATTTAGCAAAGTAGTATACGAAGATGTATATATAGAATTAATAAAACTGTTAACTTAATAGAACTCATTAATAACTGTTACTAGCTGTTTTTATAAATCGAAATATCCGTCTTGGCAACTTAAACTATGGAAGAAAGATGTTCATCAAATATATCCACAAGGACAAAAAACGGAGACTGCGCAAAAGACATTTAAATAATGTAGTGTTTCGTATTTCGAAGAAAATATAAGTAAGAATGACAACTTTGTGAAAGAAACATTGTGCCAATTGAAGTCCTCATTCTCACACTCAGGATTTATAATCAACCGTACAAATTTAGTGATGGTATTATTTGATCTCTGCATTGTCGCTAACAATCTGCGTCGTAATAAATCATTTCCTCGACATTGATTGAAAGCTTAATTGCACAAAAGACTGGCAAGTCTTAAAATTTTTAAACGATCCAATTATCGAACTATTCATCTTGTTCAAATGCATTTAGTTTTACAATTTATAATTTCAAATTATAAATAATATTACAAAAATATTTTTACTGGCGCAATTAATCAGAAATGAACAAACAGTATTTTTTAAATATTTTCAAAATCGATAGGCGATTTTTAGACGGTTTGAAGAAATATATATATATATATATATATATCACAACAATTGTTCAAGGCGTACACCAAAGCAAGACTGCGATTTAAGGTGATGCGCATCCGCGAGCGTACTTACACGCATTCATAGACACGCTTACACACGTACGATATTATTATCTCGTGATTCATAGCGCGCATTCATAAATGTTCCCAAGCTGTATAACGGCACGGTACACAGCGGTATGTATCGATTAACGTCGCTTCCCGACGGGATTTACAGCCGGTGACTAAATTATTTAAAGTCTTCATTTGTAGCGCGACGGATGGACGGACACGACCTGGCGACCACGTATCCAGTTCTTCTTCGGGCGACCTGGTACAATCGCTGACAAAAGTTCATTATATCTTCGACCTCGACCAAAGCCCCGTTGATGCACGTATATACAATGGTATGTCATAAAGCGGACGTTCACTTTTCTCTTTCTCCGCGTTAAATCGAATGTGTAACACAGTTTTCGTGATAAGGCGGTCGATCGTGACATGAAAGTTTTAACACGCTCGATAGTTGGTATTTCTTATATTAAAACCTGGTTTCTAGCAACATTATTTGTAACGATCTTATGATATCGCTATCGGCACAACACAAAATATTAATTCTACTATAGGTATAAGTGCTTATCTCCTTGATGATATTTTCATCCTTCACGGTCATGATTATATACACTAGGATATTATATATCCTATAGATACCTATATATATATAGGATAGGATATATATCACTAAGTTAGAATCATTCGAATTACTTCTACTTACATTTACAAGAATTTAACTTGATCGTATCTTCTTGTAGTTTTCAGTTCGCTTCGTTTCGGTTCGGAGTTACTGTTGTTGCATTTTCAAGACGTAAGCGTCTTACACGAAGGTGATAGTGCACGGTAGGAGATGAAACAATAGAAAATAAACCACGGAATGTATGAACTATTGTAATATAGTAAATTATTACAAAAAATTTGTTGAATATTTGATCGTGAACGAAAAAAATGTGTTCAATTTCTGGTTGTCGGTGAACTTTTGCACGTGAGTATACGCAAGAAAGATTGCCGGATTGTGTGGCGTGCCGCGGCTGCCACCGTCCGCGCCACGAACGTCCAAATGCTCCAGAGAAGAAGAAAGGGAAACAGAGAAGTAGGAGAGAAACCGATCGGTCAAGAAAGAAATAAAGACGAAAAGCTAAATAGAAAAGGAAGAAGAGAGAAGAGACGAGAAGGGAAAAGAAGGGAACAGAAGGGACGAGAAGAGAAGAGAAGAGAAGAGAAGAGAAGAGAAGAGAAGACAAGGGAAGAGAACAGTGTTGCAGGCGTCCATGGAAGGCACGTCGTGCAGAACGTCGGCGAACTCGTGTGTGTTCCGTGTTCCGAATGCACGGAACAAGCGCTGCTTGTCCGCGGCCACCTGAGTTATGATCGCTCTGTGCCCACCCTGGCTGCTCGGCTGGCTGCTTGGCTGCCTACCTCCTTGCTTCCCTAACTGCCCTCTTCTTCTTCACCCTTCTACTTTCACAGCGGCCATCTTGACTCCAGGAACCGGTTAGCTCCTCCGACTTGGTATATTCCACACGGTGAGTTTTACGGACACACATAAACACCGAATGAACAGTGTTCGGCGACATCAGCGACTGTAGCGCCCTCGGAAGTCCATCCGAGTCTACTCGACGTTAATGGCTCGTGTGGCGCGAGTTCCTTTGTACTGTTTAATAACGTCGTTATATTACCAAGCACGGTCGTCCGGCAGAATTGATTTTTAAATCCACTCGTTTCAAAGTACCGCCCCGATTCGCTTGCCTTTGTCGATGCTTTGAAACATCGATGCACAGATGCGTTAGTTATCGATAGTTGTTCTCCATGCTCGTTTGAAGGATCAAAGCGCGACCGCGATTATCGTTGCGTTGAGCTGAGGAAATTTTAAAGATATTACAAAAGAAGAAAAACCACGGATTGTTTCTCGCGAAACGCGTGAACCGAGAGATAACACGCTTTAATATTCGTGCACGTCTCGATAGCTGTGTAAGATTTATCTTTCATTAGTAAGTCATTTGCATTGAATAGACACGTTATGGGTTAACGGGTGTCTCGTTAATTGTTTGTTCCTGTTCCTTGTCTAACTGCTGACGCCGATACTGGCGTGGCCTGACGCTTTGACAAGGTACACCGTAGATATTACAGCGGTTTGTAGTATAGCATATCAAATTGCGGTATGCGAAAAGGTGTAAGAGAGCCAACCGCAGCCCACGGCAACGAGGCGTGGTCGCCGCAATTACCTCGATAGAGTTACAAGACTTGTTTTATGCTCTCGCACAAATTTATTAGCCCCATTCGCGTCAGTTTAATTACGAATAAGATCCGCTGTGATTCTTTCTCTTTTTCCTCCTTCTCTTTTTCCTAGAGGAAACGTACAGACGTTACAGCTACCTCTTCATGAGGATCGGGAACTTCATTCGGGACCAGTGCATCTATACGTGTTACTACACGTTCGAAAATCCTAATGAATTATACTTACACAGAAGCGCGCTTGATATCAATCGCGTTCATTTTATACTAGACGCATTCCTTGAAACTCCTGCGGTAATTAGTTTTACCGCTAAACGCTTAGCGGAACCCGAGAGGCTGCTAACTGCTTTCCACCTACGCAACACCGCTTCGCTTCTTCCCTTCTCTACACCTATTTTCCCTCTTTCTTTCTCTTTGCTCTTTCCGTCCTCATCATCGTTATTCCGCTCGCTTTTTCTCCCTTTACTCCCTTGAATCTAGGTACCGCCTCGTCGACTCTCTCGCTTCGCCGCTAACAGTGAGCAATTAAGCGGAGCAAAGCCAAGGAATATGTATTATGAAATTAATTATATCGTGATATTGGAGTCGCGAGCTGGCGTGCAAGGTGTAGATAAGCATTTAAATTGACACATTCCTGATGTATCTTAGGCTGTGCGGATATCGCATTTACGATAAACATTGATTTTATTACTGCTTCGACTGTATGCTGCAGCAGCAGCTTTTACAACCACACATGCAGATAAGCCTTTTATATTTTGTACTTGCTAAGTTAATTATTTTGAGTTCCATGCACGATTCTTTTTAATATCTTTCACCTGCGTTTGCATATTATTTACGAATTACACGTCGACACTTTCTCCTAATTCCTGTTACCGTAAGTATTAGTAAAAAAAAAGTAATATTGAAAATATTGCGTCGCAAAGTTAGATCAAGATAAATTTTTAGAAATATCGTTATCGCTAAAAAATTATACTTTCTATGCAAATAAGTCGTGGAAAAAATATTGGAAATAACGCGTGTCCTGTTTGTACTCGTAAACGGAGATTCGTTAAAGGAAAGAAGAAACAGCGAAGAATGTCAGTAAGCGTGGCGCTCGACATCGAATCGCAGCCCCTCCACAAACGTGGAAGACAAATCGGCCCCGGTGGGTGCAAACGTCGTAATTATCGGAGGCGGTAATCTCTCGACGTGGAAGTGGAGGATGAGGAGAAGGAAGAAGAAGAGGCGCTCAGTGAAAACTGCGTGACAGAGTGGCTCGGCCTGTTCACCCTTGGCGTCCTCCGAGTTGGCGTACCCTTTTGCCCGGAGTGTCGGCCAT